GTGTGTTCTGTAAGCCTGACAAATTGAGTGTGGTCCTTGAGATTCACATGGAAGGAGAGAACTGACTCCTGCAACTCATCCTCTGGCCTCCACATAGGCACTGGCATACACACTTTTCTGCATACACATATATATGTTTGAGTGTATGTGCACGCACACACACAGACACACACACAGACACAGACACAGACACACACACACACAGACACACACACACACACACTATGACACATTAAAAAAAGGTATCCTTAAATTAGATACTGTGACTAGTGTATACAGAATCACTGATGATGGTGTTTGGCGTAATGACACTTGCTGCATCCTGTATCCCTGTCTTGAGTGCATCCCAGTGATGTGTACCATTATTGGAGACCGTGTTCTAGAGACCACTTTCCCTTTCCTGGTTGGCGTGTGTGTACACTGGTGTGGTGTGTGCGTTAACTGGGAGTTGGACTGAAGCAGTTGCTCTGGTGCAGTGTCCCTGTCACTGAGAATCCAGTTCCGTGACTGGTTCTGTTCACAGTAGTTCTCATTTTGTGAGTCCTATCAAGAAAACTCATTTCAAAAGTGAGTTATTTGCTTTGGTCTTACTTTGCTCTGTTCTTTTCGTAAATCACCACAGTTAGAAACTCCCCTGAACAACCAGACCTCCTTCCTAAAATGGCTGCTGATGTATGCAGCTCACCTTTTTGTTTTCCTCAGGCCGGTACTAAGTGACATTCCAGTCTGCTGTGGTCATCGGGTAACGCAGACAGTGCAACAAGAAGACAGGCGAGGGAGCTCGGTAGTACCAGGTACCAGCTGTAGTTCAGGGTCCAGCTCGTATGGCCAGGAAAGTGTTTCAGTTCTTCAGCAAAGCAGTGAAGCCTTCTGTTGTTGTTTATAACGCGTCTCTCCCCCCCCCCCCCCAAGAAAGCTGTAACATTTATGTCCCAGGGACCACTCCAAGGTTACTGTTTGTTGTTGGCTCTTCCTACCTTTCCCAGTTCTCAACCACATGTACCTGTCTTGGGTCACTGTGAAAGACATCAACATAAGAATACTGAAGAAAGCGCTCAAATTTAAAACTATGATCAGAATGAAAAGAGTTTTCAATAAAAAGAAAGCAAGTAATTAAAAATGTGTGTTTGCTAGTTAATAATAGTAAAAAGGGTAGAGCTTTGAAGATACTGTTAATTTAAATAGGTGGCTTGAAGATTTTTAAACATTGAAATAAATGGAGTGCTGTGATTTCAGTTTTAGTGTAGATGTGGGTGGGAACATTTTGATTAGAGCAGATTCTTTGGTTAACTTGTCATAGTTTAAGAAGTTATTTTGCACTGATGGAAATAGTACAGCACAGGTGAATGGTAGCTTACCAGCCTTAGTGCATGTAATTGTATGAGACTTCACCCTTGCTGAGACCTAGACACGGTCTACTTGGGATTATGTATACAAAGGACATAAAGATAGGTTTTCATGTTTTCTCTACTTGGGCTTTCTTTTGAATATTAGAAAGTAGAAGTTGGTTTCAGGCGCATGGTTATTTGAACAGATATGTGTTAATGTGGGTAGAGTCAGTTAAATTCCTGGAAATGATTTGAACTTTAGAAATTCTGCTTCAATAATAGGAATATAAATGTATGCCATACCATTTGTTTTTTGTGAATCTTAATTCCTATTTTTTACACCTAGACTTTAAATGTATACTGTATTATTACTTTATTTTGTTACTAATAGGGTTTACACACACACACACACACACACACACACACCCTTTCCAACTACTTGTTCACTTAAGAATTTATAGACAGAAAATGAGATCAAGTGCCTCAATTTATGATAGATGGCTTAATCCTTAGTAAGCACAGGATCTGGGGTCACAGCGTGCAGTAGTGTCCTCTGATTCAGTACAGCTGAGGGAACACAGTACTCATGGATCCTTAGTAAGCACAGGATCTGGGGTCACAGCGTGCAGTAGTGTCCTCTGATTCAGTACAGCTGAGGGAACACAGTACTCATGGATCTCAGAAGGGCCCTGTGGAAGTTTAGTGAAATGGCTGCTCACTCTAAGACACCGTTGCACTGTGTAGCTCTTGTTGTCCTTGAACTTCTGGTCCTCCAGTCTCAGTCACCTAAGTGCATGGGATTACAGGCATGTAACACAATGCCTGGCAAGATTAACAATTTTAATTAACATTCATTCATTCATTCATTTCTTTTCAGTTAGATGTGTTTGTGGGGGCGTGTGTGTTATAGCATGTATGTGACTCCACCTTGTAGGTGTCAGTTCTCCTCCTGTGTGGAGCCCTAGGATCAAACGCCGCAGGAAGTCAGGCCTTTATCTTCCCTACTTAGCCATCTCATCACTATAGCTATTCTTATTACACCCCCCTCTGTTTTTGGAGACAGGGTGTCTCTACATAGCCCTGGCTGTTTTGGAATTCACTATATAGACCATTCTGACCTTGAACTCACAGAAACCCACCTGCTTCTGCCTCCTGATTGCTGGGATTAAATTTGTGTACCAGTATTCCCAGCAACTATTTTAATCTTTAATGTGAAGACTTTCAAGCAGGTGAAATCCATCCTTCAGTCTTTGTCTTTTAAGGCATTATTTTGTTGTTGTTATCAAGACAGGGTTTCCCTGTGTAGTCCTGGCTGTCCTTGAACTCACAGAGATCTGCCTATCTCTGCCTCCCAAATGCTAGAATTAAAGGTATGAACTACCACACCAGGCATTTTGTTGTTATTTTTAGCTGGACTATTTAAAAAAGAAATCCTAGAACCTGTCATTTTATTTCTTCTTACTTAAATACGTGTCTTGCCAATAACAAAATTACCTTTAATTCCTTGTTGTTATCCACAAATTAGTATTATCCCTATTCAGATTTCCCACTGTCCATCAATAATATGGTTTTGTGTTAGTTTATTTTTTATCAGACCTGAGGGTCACACATTGCCGTTAGTTCTTTAATCTTAGAGTGCTTTTAAATACTATAAACTTTCTGAGAACATTGGTTGGTTTTCCTATAGAATTTCCCAGTTCTAGATTTCCTTTGCTTTTTTGCAGAGTGAAAGTGATTTTGCTTGTGTCTTCAGCGTTAAAGGCTCTATCTATGGATTGGAACTTAGCTAAGAGACACATTTCTTAAGCAGGGTTGAGCATTTCACATCTATCACATTAGATCGAGTTGTGATAGCCCCTCTAATGTCAGGCTCTTTATTAGCCTTCATCTAATTGTGTCATCTGTGAGGTCTTTGTCCTGGTCACTTAGGGTTTACAAAATCGTCCTTTTCTAATTTTATCATTTCTCATTTGTTGGTTGAAATTCTTTCCAAATAGAAATATATTTCCTCATTGTCCAAGCCACAAATGCTTATTTTTTCCATTTGTTGCTTTTTTTTGGCCTAAGAATTAAAAAATAATTGTAAAAAATATATTTTTGTGTGTGTGTGTGTGTGTGTGTGTGTGTGTGTGTGTGTGTGTGTGTGTGTAAGTACCAGTGCATGCAGAAGCCTACGGAGGTCAGAAAAAGCATTAGATTCCCAGGAACTAGAGTTAAAGCTGTGAGTTGCCCCATGTGCTTGCAGACTGGGTTGTCTGCAAGAGCACCAAGTGCTCTCAACAGCTGAGCCATCTCTTCAGCCCCATTGCCTAAGAAGTTTTTGTGTGACACTAGGTATATAGGTATCAAACATAGGCATACAAATCAAGCATTTACTGATAATGAATCATAAATTTATTTTGAAGTAATTCCTTAGTACATACATACACAATTCTGTCATGTATTAAATTTGCACACTAATTAGATGGATGTGCTTGTTTATTCTTACCTAAAAAGTTAACTCTTAACTGAACATTTGATACCTTAGGACATAGAACATCTTCAATGTTTTTCATAGTTAATCAGTATTTTGGTTTCATAATCAATACTGAGTGCTGCTTTGCATAAATATGTAATACAAAGTGACAAGTAAATTTAGGACCATATCAGAAATTATTGGATATTTCTAATCCCAAGGTAAAGTTTATGAAATGATTTATTAAACTTAGTAGAGCAACTGAAATGGCAGATTTTAAAGCCAAATAAACATTCCAACAATCCAGTCCAAAGGCTTACAAATTTTATACTTGTATGATAGGAGTGATAGTAGGAAAATAACTGAGTCTTTGTTTTCAATTAAACTACCATGCTTCTATAAAATCAGAAAACTTCCCATTTACAGTAAAGAGGAAAAAAAAAGCAGTTCATAATGTACCATAGTCTCCGATCTGGCCTGATTTGTTTCAGGCATTGTGAGCTGGCATTGTGTGGTGTGGGAGCATGTGAAAGTGCTTGTGTGTTGTGTTCAGAACCAAAGCTGTGGTGATGTCACAAAAGGCCGCATGGGCTGGCAGAAACATCTCACATTCTTAGATTTATTGATTTGTAGATTGATGCTGGATTAATTTTTAGTCGTGACTTGTTCAGAAACCTTGTTCTAGTCTCTGGGCGTAGTAGCCCATGCCTGTAATTCTACAACTCGGGAAGTTGAGGCAGGAAGATCGTCAAAGTACAAACCTGCCAGTGTGGCAGGTTCCAGATGAGCCAGGGATACAGACAAAACAGGAACTGCTGGCAGGGTTTCTTGCCTTTGTCCTCACCTTCAGTTAGAGGCCGCATGAGGCCGCCACCTACAGTCCTAAGAAGCTGTGATCCAAATTGTAGGAAAGCAGAATAATTTTTTCCTTCTTTTTTAGTTTATTACCTTCATTATGTCCCTTTATTACCCGTTTTGATTTTGCCTTAGTTCTTTTGGCTTTCCTGTTTTTCTTTAGTGGGTTTTTCCTGTATTCTGTGATTCAGTAGGTTGCAGTCTTTGTCGTCGTCCCCCCCACAAGCTTGTTTTCTGTTGTGTCTTCTGGTGGCTGAGTTCTTCTGACAGGAACCAGCCTTGGAGAGCTCCTTTGTTTCCTAATGTAAAACTGTTGCTGATCTTTTTCTGACCTGGAATTTGAAGGTGTCTTCTTCAGAGCCTTGGTCCCTAAGAGGAGAAGGTATGTAAGGTGCGGAGTTGGTGCTGCTTGTCTTCTGATCTCTACAATCATCCACTCATTTACTCAAGAAAACTTTATTCAAGAAATACATTGCATACAGATACATGACCATAGTGAAAAGAAAACAAAATGCTTTCATGACAACTTATTTTTGTTGTAGTCCTATTTCTGTGACTCCATTCAGAAAACAGGAACCACTTTTTCATTAAGCTATGGTTCCTTTTCTTTTAATCTAACTTCAGCTTAAGGAAGATTTAGTTTTATAGAATTATGAAGTTAGCTTTTCATCTGCACATTATAATTTATTCATAAAGCCCCAAACTATGTACTATACTAGATAACTTTGAAAATAAAATGTCTATATGATTGTAAAGTAAAAAAAATACTTTATACCATTAACAGCTGTGTTGTCTCTCTCCTCATTCTGTTTGGCATATACCTTAGAGAGTGAAAAGTAAATACAAATGTTGTCCACTTTTATATTTGGTTGTCAAGATAATTGGTTATCATGTAGTGTTCAGTTTCTTCAATGACTAATTTTACACTCAAATTGCTACCCATGTATTTTAAAACTGTACTTTCAAAAACACTTTTGGGGGAGGCGTTGCCATAAAGGGTTAGAAGACTGTATGGCATTGGAAATATAAAATACACATGGCTACATAAATACATGAATAATCTTATTTATCTGACTCTAAATGCACATCTGTGTTATCTATAAATTTGGTAAGACATCCCAAAAGAAAAGGTTATCTTTTGAGACAAAGTTTACCTGTGGAGACCTGACTAGCCTGGAATTTGTAATCCTCCGCAACTGGGAGTGTAAAACCAAAAGTTTGTGGTGTTTTGTTTTTTTTTTTCTCCCGAGACAAGGTTTCTCTGTGTAGCCCTGGCTGTCCTGGAACCTACTCTGTAGATCAGGCTGGCCTTGAACTCAAAAAGATCCACCTGCTTTTGCCTCCTGAGTGCTGTGATTTAGGGCATATGTCACCACTGTCTGGGACAAAACTTTGTTTTCTAAAATCACTTAGACATTATTTTCTGTGTGATAATGTGATCAGTTTATTATATAGATTCATTTCATATTGAATCTTTTTAGTGTTTATATTTTAAGTTTAATTAAATAATTTCATAGTTCCAAAAAAGAAATCATGTAATAAAGTATAATTAGATAATAATAAATATGCTGCTGGGTATGGTGGCGCACGCCTTTAATCCCAGCACCTGGGAGGCAGAGGTAGGTGGATCTCTGAGTTTGAGACCAGTTTGGTCTACATAGTGAGTTCTAGGACAACCAGGGCTGTTTCACAGAGAAATCTTGTCTTAAAAAGCTGAAAAAAGAAAAAAAGACAAGAAAATATGTTTCTCCCCATTGATGAATGCATTTTGGTTCATCTTCTTATGGATTTTTTTTTTTAAATGTAGTCAAATGGATGTTGTTTTTGGTGCCTCCTTTTTTTTGTAATAGGTTTTCTGATGCCTGCTGTTGTAATCTGCTTCCTGCTGGTATGTTAAAGCACCTTTGAAAGCCAGCTTGGGAAAGGCTTTATTTCACTTTACCCTTGTAGGTTGCAGTTCATCTCTGAGGGAAGTCAGACAGGAACTCAAGGCAGGAACCTGGAACTAAAACCACAGAGGAATGTTGCTTATTGCTCACTGATTGGCTTATGCTCAGCTAACTTTATTTTTCTCATACCTACCTGCCTAGGAATGGTGTCAGGTACAGTGTGCTGGTCCGTCTCCCATCAACAATCTCTCATAAACATGGTGGAAAAACAAGTGGATTTGGGCAGTTCCTCAGCTGAGGTTTCTTTCTCCCAGGTGGCCTGCTGCCATGCTCTTGCCTTTGTAATTACTTTGTCTTTAGCAGCACTCTACCAGTGTCCATAAGAGCCTTCTCATTGCTTGGGGGCAGCATCTCATCTCCTTACATGCTGTCTCAATAAGGGTTTCTATTGCTGTGAAAACACCATGACCACAGCAACTCTTATAAAGGAAAACATTTAACTGAGGCTGGCTTACAGTTTCAGAGGTTTAGTCCATTATCATCATGGTGGGGAAGCATAGCAGCATGCAGGCAGACATGGTGCAGGAGGAGCCGAGAGTACTATGTCTGGATCTGCAGGCAGCAGGAAGAGAGAGTGATATTGGACCAAGCTTGAGCTTCTGAAATCCCAAACCCCACCCTGTAGTGACACACTTTTTCCAACGAGGCCACACCTCCAATAATGCCGCTCCCTATGAGTCTGTGGGGGCCATTTTCATTCAAACCACCACACATGCATATACGGGAATCTGTTCATTTGGGCCTCAGGCAGTTAACATGTTTTGTATTGTATTTTATCCTTGGTGGTAGGACCACAAAAGCAGAATTATTGTGCCAGTGTATGTGATTTTTGCAAAATACTTCCCGTCTGCTCCCTTGGGTATGCTCTTTTTTTTAAGTCCCACGAATAGTATATGTTGTCAGAACTTTTGGATTTTTACCAGCTAGGGTTGTTGAGGAAAGGCCTCTTACTGTTCGTTGTATTATCTTGGGATGGTTTTGCCATGAGTTGAGTGGTTTATCATTTTGTACATTTAAGAGTTTATTCACCATTTTGATAACTTCTTGAAGTTTTTTTGACTTATTTTTTAAAAATTTGGGTTTTTCTGAATCATAAACTTTTTGATGCAAGTTGGAAATTTTTTGTTAGTTGTGTTATGACATGAGAGATGTGTGTTCCATTTTGGACAGGTGCTCACTTGGTAGCTCTGACTGGTTTGAACTCACTGTGTAGTTCAAACCTTAGCCTGAGTCTCCTGTGTGCTGGGATTTGTACCATGTGCTACCAGCTGCCCCACCTGCCCATGGGAGTTTTATGTATATTTCTTAGCATTCCTTCAGTTGCTTTAGGGTTTTAAGCATGAGCTTTCTCCCTGTTCCTGTGTTGTGATGGAATTTACTGTGCTTTCTTGTACAGTTTCTTTCCACCTCAATTAATGCAGTGAAGGGAACCTTAGAGATATGCCCAGAGGCCTATCTCCTAGGTGGTTTTAGACCTCATTAAGTTGCCAGTTGAGATGAACCAACCGTCACAGGCAGAGTACTTGTTGAAGTGAGCCAAAGTTGCCTCCTTTCTGAAGTACTAAATAATGAATATTGGAAAAAAAAAATTCTTAATATATAAAATGATAGAAGCCTAGAAGTTAAAAACCTGCAACTAACGAACTACAACCTAGCTGGGTGCAGAGCTATTTAGGAAACCACCCCTGTCTTCTGTCCTCCACAGGCATGCAAAGCATTCACACATACGCACTCCTGCCCCAAGTTTATTGAGTAATAGTGGTTGTTTTTGGTAGTCTTGCTGTTTAGTACAGGCTGGCCTAGAACTTATTACCTAGTCTAAGTACAACTCAAATAGCAATCCTTTTCTGCCTCAGTCTTTTCAGTGTGGAGATTAAAGAAGTGTATTAATGTGCCTGGCCATATCTTTGTTTTCACAGTACTTAGTAGGGATTGAAATGGGGTCTTGTACACACCAGGATTTTTTTTAAAACTAATTAAGGAAACTGGAGTATATAGCTTCTGGGCTCTAGGCGTCTTTTTTTCTTATTTTCCTATTCATTTATTTCTTCTCAGACTTATCTTATACCTCCTGTAAGGCCAAAGAAAAATAATTACTATCATAATTCTCTTGAGATGGAAGCAGAGGCAGAAGCTGTTTTTTTGTGGCCAGGGTGCTTAACCCCTCTGTTTCCCCCACTTAATGCTGATGATGATAGAACTCAACTCTTAGGTTGGTAATTAAATGTAAAATTCTTAATACCCAACATTTAGAAAGCTCTTTACTGTATATTAATTACAATAATTATTACCTCTTGTCCATTGAGTCACTATAAACCCAAATTTTAGGCTCAACAATTGATTTTATTACTTTTAGGTCTGATAAAACTTGGTAGACTTACTCATACCAGCCAGATTTAGAATTGGCTGAGTAACTAAACAGAATGTTAACCTTAATTATTAAGGGACTATTCTGGTTACAAGTATACATGGCTATTCTTGTGGAACATGAAACTAAATTACCCATTAACACTTATGTAGTGTTAATTGAAGTCATGTCCAAGTTTTTTATAGACTATTTTATTTCAGCTTCACAAGACATGGAGAATTGTTTGATTACAAAGATCAGCAGGACCAAGAGTGTGGCTCTGGGTGAAGATACCAACCAGTGCCTCCTCACTCCCCAGAGGTTTATTTTTCCCTTTTTATCATGGCTTTGTGGAAGGGTAGTAGCTGACCACATTAGTAAGAGAAATTTGTACCTGAGTTTCCTTTTTCTGTAAAGGACACACAAAGATAAGACTCACTGTGAGGACAGTCAGTTTTCTGTGTCTGCTCCCATCTGAAAAACAGTTGGTGATTCTGGGGATATTAGAGAGCATGCCTTCCCTGCCTGCTAGTAGCAGGCACTGTGTCTGGGTGGTTTTTTGTTTTGCTTTGTTTGCTTGGTTTTGGTTCTTAATACCAGGTGATTTGGATTACTTGATAGTTCTCAGAGAAACTGATGCCTTCTTGACAGGTGCATCGGACTGTTTCATTATTAGAAATGGTACAGAATTGCTTTGTAGCAGAATCATTAAGTACTGTGGACATTTACCTGCTTTTATGATGTGACACCTGTCAGAGAGAGCCCTCAGGACAGTTGTGCAAGTGTTCCGGATACTTAGAGTGTTCAGTGTGATGTAAATATGTCTTCAGGCTGTCAGTAGGGAAAATCTTGCAACCTGGGGTGAAAATATGGCTCCCATATAGAAACTTAAATTTATATAACTCGATATTATTATTATTATTATTATTATTATTATTATTATTATTATTATTTTACTGTGTTGTCTTAGAAACCTGTAGAGAAGAGACCAGAATCTGAAGTGGAAGGCACTTAAAGAAGTCTAGTGCCCTCTAGGGGCAGGAGGGAGTCTGAAGCAGGGACAGGATGAAAGAGCTGAGAAAGGAG